TTTTGTTAATGTTATGTTTTCTTTTGTTGATGAACCCAAGATAGGTCTAATTTAATGTAATAGGATTTCAGTATGATATAATATGAAACATTTATATGCAATGAACATTCACCATTTTAACGTTTAGACTTATGTACACAAAAATCTAAATTCAACATCGTGATATGATTTCGTACAAAATATATGAAATGGGCATTCACCATTATAATGCGCAGACTTAATTATGCACGAGAATTAAAATCTCAGTTTGATATTGAATGAAATATACATGCATTTGATATAAACCATTATTATAGGCAGAGTTATGCCCGAAAATCCAATCTTAGTATATCATATGGAGATATATCTGCAATGGACATTCATCATGATGTGCAGACTTATGCATAAAATTCCAATCTCAGTATGATATCATATGAAACATATATATACACTTTGCATCAATATGTGCAGCCCTGTATGCACAATAATCAATCTCAGTAGGATATCATATACAAAAATATATATTCAATGGACATTAACCATTAAAATAGGTAGACTTATGCACACAAATCCAAACTCAGTATGATATGGCATGGAATATATATATGCAATGGACATTCACAATTATACTGTTCAGACTTATACACAAGAATCAAATCTCAGTATGATATTGCATGAAATATACATGCATTTTAATTAAAACCATTATTATGAGCAGACTTATGCACTAAAATCCAATCTCAGTATCCATATGAGAATATAATTGGAATGGACATTCACCATTATGATGTGCAGACTTATGCATCAAAAACCAATCTAAGTATGATATCATATGGAAAATATATGCAATGGACTTTTACCGTTATAATGTGCAGACTTATGCACAAAAATCCAAACTCAGTGGATCATATGAAAATATATTTGCAATGGATATTCATTGTTATAATGTGCAGACTCATGCATAAAAATCCAATATCAGTATATCATATGAAAATTTATATATACTTGGCTTACAAATGTGCAGCCCTATATGCACAAGAATCAATCTAAGTACGATATCGTATAAAATACAGTGTGTATATCCATTTGACAGTCGCCATTATAATGTTCAGACTTGTATACAAAAATCCAATCTCAGTATGATATAATATGAAACATGTACATGCATTCGATATTCACCATTATAATGTGCTAACTTTTGCATGCAAAGAATCTTAATTTAACATCGTGATATAATTCCATAAGAAATGTATATGCAATGGACATTCACCATTATAATGTGCAGACTTATGCACAATAATTAAATCTCATTATGACATTACATGACATATACATGTACATGCATTTGACATTCACCATTTTCATGTGCAGACTTATGCATATAAATCCAATCTTAAATATGATATTGCATAAAATATATATGCAATGAATATTTACCATTATAAAATGCAGAGTTACGCACAAAAGTCCAATATCAGTATGATAGCGTATGAAACATATATATATAGATTTCGCTTCAATATCTGCAGCCCTATATGCACAAGAATCAATCTCAGTACGATATCTATAAAATACAGTGTATATATGCATTTCACATTCACCATTACTACGTGCAGACTTGTGCACGAAAATTCAATCTCAGTATGATATAATATGAAACATGAACATGCATTTGACATTCACCATTATGTGCTAGCTTATGCATGCAAAGAATCTTCATTCAACATTGTGATATGATTTCATACAAAATATATACAATGGACATTCACCATTATAATGTGCAGACTTATGCACAATAATTAAATCTCATTATGATATTGCATGAAATATACATGCATTTGATATAAACCATTATATTGTGCAGACTTATGTATGCACTAAAATCCAATCTCAGTGTACATGTGAAAAAAATAATTGGAATGGACATTCACCATTATGATGTGCAGACTTATGCATACAAATCCAATCTAAGTATGATAACAAATGAAATATATTTAACTAAACAATGGATGTAAACTATTATGATATGCAGACTTATGCATAAAAATCCATTCTCAGTATGATATCATATGAAACTTTTATAAACATTGAGCCTTAATTTGCGCAGCCCTACATGTACGAGAATCAACCTAAGTACGATATCGTATTAAATACAGTGTATATATACAATGGACATTCAACATTTTAAGGTTCAGACTTATGCACAAGAATCAAAGCTCAGTATGATATTGCATGAAATTAACATGTATTTCATTCAGATTCAGATTCAGATTAATTGTATTGGTCCATTTGGAAATGTAGTTGTTGGCATTACATAAAGCACATAAACAATACCCCAACCAGGCCGAGTATACGGCATCTGCAGGAATCTTCAGTATTGAAGGAGGCAGATTATCTCGAAGAAGAAGAAGAAGAATATACAATAGAAAAAAATATACACAATAGATAATACACAGTAGCAAAAGTACAATGACACATTCATATGGAAACATGGATATAAATCGTTTTTACGTTTGATATAAACCTTCATAATGTGCAGACTTATGAAAACAAATCCAATTTCAGTATGATATAATATAACATATTGATGCAATCGACATTCAAAATTATAATGTGCAGACTTATGCACAAAGATCCATTCTCAGTATGATATCATATGGAAAATATATGCAATGGACTTTTACCGTTATAATGCGCAGACATATTATGCACACAAATCCAATCTCAGTAGATCATATGAAAATATATTTGCAATGGATATTTATCATTATGATGTGCAGACTTATGCAAAAAAAAATCAAATCTCAGTATGATATCATATGGAACATTTATATACATTTGGCTTAAACATGTGCAGCCCTATATGAACAAGAATCCAATCTTAGTACGATATCATATTAAATACAGTATATATAAATCCATTTAACATTCGCCATTATAATGTGCAGACTTGTGTACAAAAATCCAATATCAGTTTATATAATATAAAACATGTTCATGCATTTGACATTCACCATTATAATGTGCTAACTTTTGCATGCAAAGAATCTTCATTCAACATTGTGATACGATTTCATACAAAATATATACAATGGATATTCACCATTATAATGTGCAGACTTATGCACAATAATTAAATCTCATTATGATATTGCATGAAATATACATGCATTTGATTACTACTATAATGTGCAGACTTATGCACAAAAATCAAATCTCAGTATATCATATGGAAAATATATGCAATGGACTTTTACCATTATAATGTGCAGACTTATGCACAAAAATCCAATCTCAGTAGATCGTATAAAAATTTATATACACTTGGCTTAAAAATGTGCAGCCCTATATGCACAAGAATCCAATCTTAGAAAGATACCATATAAAATACAGTGTATATGCAATTGACATTCACAATTATATATAATGTGCAGACATACGCACACACAAATCTTAATTCAACATCGTGATACGATTTCATACCAAATATATACAATGGACATTCACCATTATAATAATGCAGACTTATGCAAACAAATTATAATATCAATATGATATTATAACATATTTATGCAATGGACATTTACCATTATAATAAGACAGACTTATGCACAAAAATCCAATCTCATTATGATATCGCATAAAATATATATGTAATGGACATTCACCATTATAAAGTGCAGACTTATGCGCAAAACGAGGAATAGTCACATTTCGATGTCTAGTGAACTGTATTCATTGAGATATGTACATGTATATGGAACAATCACCCTGTAGTGGCAAGTACGAAATTGCCTCCTAAAACAAACACCATCCTCCCTAAAAACAACAATAAATAACCCCACAAAAGAAGAAGAAGCAAAACTAACATAACTATCAATTGTTAACAACATTGTGACGAACGATTATGGATAATAATGTGTTTGTGCTGACAACTATTCATTTATTCTGCAGTGTTAAACGGCATCTGACTTTTTTCACACAACATGGTCACCGAATATAGGATTTCCCGGCGAAATTCGCGAGTTTGTCATTCGAATTCATTCACTTTGCATTTAAGTTAGCGCATATCGGCTTTGCCATGGCAATTATCTTTCAATTTTCCCGTTTTGGTATTTTATTTAGGATTTTGATCCAAGGGTTTTATAGATCTGTCATTTAATTTAGAAACTGCTCAACTAGCATTCAAATTAATTGTCACTTGTCGAGGCGTCATTTTTATCATTCATATTAACACCTGTCATTCGTATTCAAATTGTGTTTATTCACGTTAGGAATGTTAGGGGGAAGAAATGCAACTCACGTTTACAGTTTAAAAAAAATGCAATTTAATGCATGATTTGCCATTAGGGTATTTTCTGTTATTCCATTTATTAATTTGAGGACAATGCATATGTGTAGTCAGACATAAGGTAAAGAAGGGGCGAAATCAAGGGATATGGCATTTCTGCACGGCATGTTCATATAACCCGGAAAAGTGGGGATACAAAAATATCTACCCCAGTCACAATATTCTACCCTTCCTTCATAAAGGAATTGTGATAAATTTATGATGAAACACAAGACAAACAACTTCCTCACATGAAAGTTTACAAAAATATTGAGACCATCAAGTCCGTAGATGTAGTCGTTTTTTCTTAACAATCAAACTTTAAAGGTAATACAAATTTTTGGTATGGGGTCGTGAATTTGGTTCTAATGAACATATTATAAGCATATGTGATCCTACAATATTCACTGATCGTTGTCGCGGTCGAAATCGACTCTAAAGTTATGAAATCATAAATAATAAACACATTATGTTGTATAGCTCCCTCTCAAGGTCAAGTTATTAATTAAGCTATAAAACAATGTGTCTTGACTAAAATCGACCGATTAGCTATTTCCGTTCCGAAATTATATACCACAACTACATATTCTGAGAAATCGTGTTGCGCCAAATTGAATGACCAAATAGCGAAAGAAGCACATTATTCATTAATTTAGATTTGAAAACAAGAAAGAGGAATATAAACCCAAGATATATCTGACAGCACTAAAACCGTCGAATTTGAACGCAAGACAAATTAATTTATATGATAAACTCGCGAATTTGGCCGCAAAATCCTATATTAAAGGAGATGGTGTGTGACATGGATGTATCATATTTTCTTTAAACATTGCTTTGCCCCCTCCTTTCTTTCTCTCTATCTCCCCCCTTTCACACACTCTCTCTCTCTCTCTCTTACTCTCTCTTACTCTCTCTTACTCTCTCTCACTCTCTATTTCTGGTTTATCACCTAACCTAGTACTTATCTACAAGTCCTCCTGATTCTACCTGGATGAGGATTGTATTTAGATCCTTGCTTGTCCGAGTTGATACAGCTTTCCATGTTTGAAGGAGGTGTATGTACTGATCAGTCAAGTCACTAAACTCCTTTCTGATACGTTCAGCGGTGCTGTAATCGATGCGAAGAGCAACGTAAAGATGTCTCCACCGATCAGGTGGTAGAAGCCCTGCTAGTTTCAGGATATTCGCATCTGTCACTTCCTGTTCATCCAATGGACTGAAATTTAAAAATCAAAACAATTGTAATCTGCTTAGGCAAGAAGTCACTGATATTTTTTTAATTTCCTGCCCCAGAGAAGAAATAAATATTAACTTTTCGAAATTGTACTATATCAAATAATTTCAAAATTATATTAGGAAATCCACTTGCAAGATAATGAGAAATGAATTTGATCTGGATAAGCGGGGTTTTAATAATAAACAGTCAGGTCATGGCGCGGGCCGAAATAAGCTACAAATTGTTTGTCTTTGAATGATTTTCTATATTTCAGGCTTTCAGATATATACTAACAAAAAATTATTAAAGAACAGGCCAAATAATGAAAGAATGAGGTCTAAAAATTAAGAGAAGTGGGGAAATCGTTCATTTAAACCTCTCCTTCACAATTAAGAAAACTGACTTATTGTTCTCCTTATTGGACTCAATAATCTAAATTCATGTAACATGTTACTGGGCGTAATGTATATATACGACTGCAATTGTATCCGGACTATACAAATCTCTCACTCTTCTCTTTCTCCGCCTCTAGCTCTTTTTTCTTTCTCTAAGATCTTGCGCCCTTTGCCTTGAAAGCAGGTGCGTATAATTTTGTGAATTTGTAGGTGTCCATTTTTATCTTTTAATTTTTATTGAACCGGTAACTTTGTTGAAGGTTGATGAAAAAATGTGTTATTTTTGTATGAAATGATACTTATTATATTTCTTTTACTGTACTAACCCTCTTACATTATTTCTTGAATTTGTGTATTTTCCAAAACTCAGAGCAAATATCTAGACTTCCTTCTGTATGAATACACACCCATCTATACACCCCCCCACACACACACACACACACGCACACACACACACACATACGTATGTAGTGGTTCTACTCACATTGCATCGATGTTTGGTGAAGGAGCGTTTTGTTCCGCAGTCTCTTTGTCGATCCCTATCATGTAGTTACACAAATTTTACCGGTTACCAATTTTGTAAGCACAAGACTCTGTTTTATTATTTCCTACTCTTAACTTTTCCGTAGTTTCCTACGTCTCCATTTCAAGTGTTGGGTATATTAACAAGGATTATATACATGATCGTCTGTTTTCACACATAATGACGTAAGAAATAATGTACATTCGACCAAAGCCATTTTTCCTTTAAACACACATTTTCTCCACTAAACACATGGTCCAGTCAGCCTTTTGTATAATCATTATTTAGTCTACATGTATACAGCAAGTAGGGCCAATCTATAATCATGTGGTTCTAATTGCCACTTCCTCAAGTCATTAATTTGTACGACTTGATCCAATAACCATTTGGTCCATCATTATTTGGTCCATTTCCCATTTTGTCTCTAATAAAATGGTCTGAACCCCAATTACTCCGAAAACCATTTTGTATATATATATATATATATATATATTGCGATCATTTATTTTCTGTGTTGCGTTTATGAATAGATCCCTTCTGATAAGCTATGAAATATTGATACTCAGGGATTTAAACAACTAAGCATCTGCATGAAATGTTTTACCTTGGAAATGTGTGTTGAATTTAATCGTCTGTGTAGAGGTTTGAACCACTTCAAGTGTCACTAATGTCTCATCATTTTCCTCTGTTAGATCGAGCTCAAAGTACTTCGTCACTTTCCTTTCCTTCTTCATGTCGCTGAACTGAATAGCCTGAGGAAATTGCCCGAATAAATGATTAATTTTAGCTCATGATCATATGAAATATGCACCAAAACATAAATGTAGATAGTACTGATGAAGAAGATTTTTTTTCTTCTGTCTTTACAAACTTTGTCCAGTCAATTCCATCGTTTCGCATCTAATTTTGTCAAGATAAATTCAATTTTATCTAGGCTACCAACGTACAATTGCATAAACCAATTTTGTCATTTTTCAGTGAATTTCATCAAAGCGTCATTCAAATTCGTCACTCGCTCGCTTGCTATAATTATATACATGTATGTGTTACGTTACTTTTTTTCATATCTATACCCAAAACCTGCTTTGTGTATGTGTTAAGAAAAAATGTATATACATATATATATATATATATATACAGTGTATATATATATATATTCCTAGTAGCGTAGGTCTCTGAATATTTATCATCATTATCAACACTATCAGAATGATTCAATCGAGTTCATCGGCACTTTGTTTTAAGTTTTCTCCTGTTGGCTCTGCATTGATTGTTCTACCTTCTACCATGAACTGTTCTTGGTTCCACATGGCCCTTTTTTCAATTTTAACTAAGTATAGCACTTCCGAGAACCAAAGTACGCTTACCTGTACCTCGGATTTGGGACTCTTCCTACCCAGCTGGCAAGCGACTTTTAGTGTTCCCTCCAGAAACACAACGTCATCGTCATCGCCTTTTACATGTTGGAAACGGGGATAATCTTTAGCATGGACATCTGTCTGAAAAATCATGTGTACAAACAGTATTCTGATAAAGTTAACTGAAATTATCAAATATATAGAAACCATATGTATACTTGTATTATACACCATATCTCGGATGTTTGTGTATTTCTACTGAAGTACACGCTGGAATCGTCCTAAGGAATAAGATGTGGTCGCATGTGTCAACCAATTCATTTAGATCAGTGTTAATGGGCTTTATCTATCAGGAAATTGGAAAACTAAGATGACGTCCAAATTGGCATCGATTGAAAGAAACGGCCAGAACAGTATGGGATAGGGCCTTCTATTCATGTCACAGATAAGTCTAAAAGTATATTGTCGGCAACGGGATACCCATTTGTTGAATTGATATAATGAAAGTGGAAAAAGTTGCAAGGTATAGTAATAAATGCAAGACAGTTGGCAAGATGTTGACTAGACCATGCTCGATCAATATTTACGACCAAGTCTCAAAGAGCAACACCAAAAACACTAATATCGTTATTGAAAGAACCCAAGATTCCGAAGTAGGTTACCGTTTCATGTTCACATACAAATACCTATGGTTAAAGTAACTAATATTTTTTTTCGACAGAGCTTATAAATAGGATTGTACCACATCCTCACTATTGACAAATGATTAAAAAAAAACTTGTCTGCAGCAATCAGGCTTAAATACGCCCGCCCCCCCCCCCCCAGATGGTTTTAAAGGGATCGTTTAACAATGTTAAATCTGAAATACACGGCCCTACTTGTTATCAGTGTCTGTGATATGGTGTAATATTGAAGTCCTAAAAAAAAATGCGCTTCAAAACGATCAAGAAGTGCCTCAAAAAAGTAAAAATCTTTGAGTGACCGTTTTTACCATACTCGTTTTCCCCAAAAGACTGTAGTGTTATGAAAAATGAGTAATTCCAATCATTAATATCTTGATAATCAGACAGGCGATCGGCTTGTAAAAGTCATGGGGTTCCTAACTGACCTAAAGGTTTATAATTATCATTGCAGCATGAGCTAAATCCAAAATTTTGTTCCAGAATCTGAGACAAAATTACCGGATCCCTTTAATGTCTGTTTACCCATTTTTGGTCATGTGTCTTCTTGACGAAGCGAACCTCCAGGACTGGTATTCTGGAGGAAGGCATGCGTCTGGGAAGAAACGACATGCATGACAGTAAGATGCCCTTCAGAAATAGCCAATCCCAATATACTGCAAAGAATCCTCCAGAAAAATGGCTGATTGAGACCTCTAGCCATCGTTCTCGTACGGAACAAATGATGTTGTCGGGATCCGAAAGCCGTTTAGGTGTACCTTTCAAATAAAACCAGACAAATTTAAATGCAATAAGAAATGAAAGGATCTCTTACCTCTGAGGCTTAACATAATTTGCATTACATTTTTTGGCGTTTGGAATACAATTCAAAAGGGAAAAATTACAAAAACAAAACTAACTTCATGATATATTTGTTTGTACTGTAATATATATATAATTTGTGGCGATATGAGGACTAAATATTCAGTGATACATTAATTGTCTGTCATAAATCTCTCCTGGATAAGAGAAGTAGAAAAATGCGTACCTAGGCCTTAGTCTGTTAATGGAGGAAATAAAAATGTGCTTTTCTGATGACCGTTACTATCCTATGCTTATAGCACACTACCCACTGTGAAAGTTTCTGTGACATTTTTTTTTAAATGACAAGCATTTGCAAAGAGCCCCTGAAACCACACAATTGTGTTTATAGTTGTGGAACTGATTGGGGATGCAAACATTATCATAATGGGTGGATATTGACATTACGTGTACATGCATTCATCATTCATAATGTATGACAATCAACGTCGAATGCTTCATTCAATTAATGGACATCCTCATACAATGACATTTTTCGCAAAATTGCTATATTAATTCGGGCCGCGTTTTTGTAACTTTTGCGTTGATAAAACGTATAGGAAACAACACAAATTAATCAACGTCAGTGTATGGTGAGCTATACTAGTTATTTTTTTTTAAACCAAATTGTCAAACTTAGTAAATATGAGGTCATGAATGGGTGTGAAAGCTTATGAGCCTTTCTGGGGACACTTCTTAACATAATTTATATTGACGTATTTTGAGTTCCCGATAGGTATCGTAAACATTTTGGTAAATAATTTCAAGGCATTGATGTAGCCCATTTACCTGACTGATTCCAGGAATACAGTATGGTCCGTACTTTGTTAGGAGCAGTGACTAATGCACAATGAGGTATTATCAGCTTTGCCGGTTTCTTAAAGCGTAGCCCAGACGGGTAACACTGGAAACCATGGCTGACTAGAAGCTCGTCGTCTTTAAGTGTGAGGACCTCTGGAATCTCGGTCAGTACCTGAAGGCTGATTTCCTCATCTTTCTCAAGGGCACCAGGTGGAATGTGGAGTGTAAAACCATGGGATTTGGTAGACAGCTTTCCACCAAGGGCCCCAAACATTCCAGTTGCAGATCTACCATCTGAAATTAAACAGCAATGCAAATATATAATAATAATAATAGCTCGTTCTTATATAGCGCTTTTCAGGACCGCAGGCCCTCTCGAAGCGCTTTACAGATAAGTAAATTATTACCCCGGTCATCGGATTCAGGCTTACCCGCACACAGTGTATGCACATTCTCCACTCCCTGGGGAGCATTCCAGCCAGGCGTCATTTTTACAAGCGCACACTTGCTAATCTAACCACATTAGCTTTCGCATCCTACCGGGTACCCATTTAACACCTGGGTGGAGAGTGGCAAATGTAGATCAATGTCTTGCCAAAGGACATTAGTGCCGCGGCGGGACTTGAACCGCGGACCTTGTGATCCACCTTGTAATCCACAGTTCGATGACATATCCACTCGACCACGACACCTCTATATATATAAACTATTATATATTAACCTGAATCAAATTATAAACCTGAATATGGCTTAAAAATTGTATGTATTAAGAGCATATACTGCACAGTAAATATATACTTTACAAGCTTTGACGCCACTCCTGCTACAGATACAGTGTATGTACAAATGAACATGTAGTCTCATTTCCCAGACTCACTTCATTTTTAGAAAAGCAAACATTATGATGAAGCAAATAGAAAATATCTGATTCAACAAAACACACGACATAATACAACACACGACATCATACCAAAAAAAAATCAAATTATAAACCTGAATATGGCTTAAAAATTGTTTTGTTTTGTTATGAATTTATATTAAGCTAAGTCATAACAATGGATTGAATATTTAATTTGCGTGTATCCATAACAGCATCTTTAATTTCTGAATACGAGAAAGTGATTCGACTGAATATTGTCGTATAAAATTCATTAGGCCAATACACTTGATCAAGTTATAAATATTCCAAATTTATACACTTGAAAGATTCCTTCTTATGGTCTACTTGAGAGCAGTAGAAGACTTTAATTGCATGATTTATGATACCCTTGCTTTTCTCTGCTTTCGATGCGTCCTGCACAGACTCCCAAACCAGCTTCAGTGTCTGCTTTGCTTTAGGCCCTGAAGTCTGAGATGCTTTCCAACTTGAGAGCATTTGGATGTTAGCGTTTTTCCTGTTGTATAATGTCCGATGTTCAATGTGTTGTAACTCTGACGTGTTGAATCCCAGCTTCCCCCCAATCTCAAAGAACTTTTCCGGTCCGATCTGACGGGCAAACGCGAGCAGTGTCTTGTCAGGAATTTCTCTGCATCATAATATAAGTCACGAAACCCACAAGCATACTTTCTTTGCTACTTCAAATACTTCAAATCACCAAAAGAGTATAATGAGTGTTTCAAGGTACTAGAATGTGGGCGTGCCTGTGTGTAAATCTATTTCTCTCTCTTTGCCTGCTCGTTTGCATCCCCATTTCATACCAGCTGCTTTCTTCATCTTCTTTTCCTCTCGAACAACGTAATTTCCAAGTTGTATTCATCAGGCGTTTGTGTAAACATTTATATTCTCATTGATTGGGTTTCAACGCATTTCAGACTATTCAACTGTCTTCATGTTGGCTCCCTCCACATCAATATGATATGTATTCTGTATTCTTGTTTCCATCCTGTTTAAAGTTATTTCCTTATCTTAAAAAGTTATTCCCATTATTATTTGTTGAAGACTTTTCTTATTTTGGGGGGACTAAATTTCGATTTGTCAAAATTGTTTGTTTTATAGTCTTTTTATCCATTTGCAAGGAACCTGTTAACCTTATTGTAAGTTTTGGAAACAAATAAACGTTGGTACATACGACTCATAATTGCCTTCAAGCTTTTGCCTCACAATTGCCGTTTTGTTAATACTGCAGCCAGTTTATTTTCATTGGTGGAAATAAATACAACCGATGCACAATATTCATTCTGTAAACACCTTAGTTGATATAAATTAGATCTTACCCAGTAAGTCCAATGTCTGCTGCACGTAGATGAAGCAAAAGTAGATCATGAAGATATAAACATAAAAACAAATAAGAATAAGAATGTAAGAATAAACAATTTATTTAAAAAAATGAAATAAAACTAGATGTTAGCCTCGTTTGAATACGCCAAGCCAATTAAAGTCATGTACTTCTCTAATACTCCCTGCTACATGTATGATGTGCAAATTAAGAAGTATTTTTAGTATCCCACCCTCTATTTCTTCAATATTTTTTTTCTGCTGTAGAATAAAATGACATGTATTGTGCATTATAATATCTCGAAATAACTCAAATACTTAATTTTCGCTACATTTCAGCCCTTGGTCCAACCCACTATTAACGGTTATCTAGAGCTCTAACATATTTACTGACTGATATGCGTCATAAGCGTCTCGAAATAGATTTACAGAAACCTATTGTTAACTCTATCCTCAACCCTAAATTCTAGCAACACACAACACTGAAATACAATTTGAAATGGGTGTCAATATGCATTGAAACCATATTTATTATCCAAAGTTATCCTGATTATAAAACCCTATGAAACTAAGTTGTTTGAAAAACAACAGAAAGTACTAATGTGTACTCATCCCTTAGTTACAGCTAAAGACCGGTCATGGTCATGCAATTGCATTGTGAAGGAAACGTTGTGAAATCGATCAGAAAAGGTTGATGATCTAGCATAGATGTACTGCAAGGTTCTGGAATCATCAAAATGATAAGAACTTGGCCAAGTCTTCATAAAGTTAGAATCACTGTACACAGAAAGATGTATATTGAACTACACACACGTGCGCGACACGTGCATTTCATATTTCTCAACAGGCAAGAGATACACTAATTTACCAAATATATCAATTAGTAGGCGGTTTCCCGTCAAAATTTGTATCATCAGGTAATATTCAAAACATATTCTTTCACATGATTGGTAATAAGAGCTTCCATTTCGTTTTTTGAAATTGGGGCATTTCCAATACTGGTCTTTACCTTTAACATGAAGGTTGAAGCCCACTGTTTAACAATAATGTGGGTTCAATGTGGGTACGACAAAAAAGAGTGAATTATTCCTAATTCTAATTTATTTGTTCTAGTGTATTATAGGGTAGTAATTTTCTTCATCCTAATTGGAAATCAACTAGAAAAAAAAAGAAAAAAACTTTGTTCAAAAGTCAGACCTGAAATGGCGATTCCTTCTGCTGGTGAATCCAAAGATTCCATGAGTGAGAGGAACGTTTCCTTTGCTGCTTGGCCGGACGGTTGCCTCTCTCTCCATGTCAACAACATGTCATAGATGGCCTGCTCTCTGTCACGGAACCTCCTGTATTCTATGACGTCCAGTTGCTCTATGGTGAAACCAAGAGCTACTCCCAAATCATAGAACTGGTCTACCGTCATTGTTTGGGCTATTGTAAGGACATCAATGTCCGGCAGGTCACTTTTCAAGACTTCTTCCACAGCCCTGCAAGACAAAGTGAAGGTTTTCTGGTAAATTTGCTTTGTTGAAACTTCTTTAAAACGATGTTCATCAATTTATGAACAACAACCTGACGCTAATGAGTTTAATATGGCAGAGGACATTTCTTTATATTTGTCCATATACATCATAGACGCGAGAATGATTACACGACAAATGTTCCGAAGGCAATGGCTTTATGGTGTATATGTACCGGTATAGCATTTACAAATTTAATACAGGAACTTCAGCTCAAGACCAAATGTTACATCCATTCTGATTTATAAAATTAACCAAAAGTTTGATTGCTTCATTGGCCCTATGAATATCTTTGACGGAATCGAAACGGAGACTACCGAATCAATTTCTGATCGCCTTTGCAAAGTTTAAAAATAATGAGGTGGGGAAACAAAATTGGTCGTCTTTCACGTGATCTATTCTAATTCATAATTATTTTGGTCAAGTCTTGAAGTGAAGAAAGAAAACAGAGGTATTGGTTTAATGTATTCAAAATTCTTAAAAAGGATAAAGTTTCATTCCTACATGTAGCTTTGTTCAAATAAAACAGCTTTGTTATCTATTTACTAGACAAATGCCTAAATTCAACTCAGGACCAAATGTTACATTCATTTCAATCTATAAAGGCAACTTAAATTCGTATGGCCTCATCGGCTCTTTCAGAGCGTTGAAACGGAGAAATGTCATCGAATACGTTTCTTTTCACCTTCTGCAACGTAGACATAATGAGATACGAAAAGTACTTGAATTTATAATTATTTTCTTCAGGTCCTAAAAATGAAAAACAGAAGTATTGTTTGGATTTATTCCACAACGATTATTCTTAAAGATTATAAAATTCCATTCCGATAAAGCTGATATACATGTAGTTTTGTCCAAACGAAACAGCATTATCATCTATGATGTATGATTTTAAGCTTACCCAACAAATGAAAGGGGCTCAGAAGGAGAAAGGTATTCCTGTCCATCTAAAAAAAAAATGAAGAAAGGGCAAATTAAAGAGAAAATACAAGAATGACTTGAGCTTTTTTTATAATTATTATCATTACTAATATTATACAACTTCCTCTGCTTATGGTCTCTAGTTTTCGAACAGTTTGCTGAACCCTGTGTCTAATGATTAAACTAATAGAAGAAGTAGAAGTATATGTATAACGAGTCATGTGAAATTGAACATATACAAAAAAGAGAATGAACATATGCCCGCATTTCGTATTTCATGACCGTAAATGCCAATTGAAAAATGAAAAAAACCATTCCGAGCTGTATTTTGGCTAAATTTTTCGGATAATCTTAGGCATTCATTGCTTATTGAAAAACATTGCATTCGGATGCAATTATCTCTAAGCGCCAGAATCTTTTCTTGTGAGATTTATCCAAATATTTCACGTTCTTTCTTTGATCATACTCTTGAGTTTAATACTAACCACGAACTAACTGATAATTTGATAAATATAGATTAACTATACCCGTTTGTCTGATGATAAAATCAAGTGATTGAGACACCTCTTGTCTTCCAGCTTGTGTAATTGTAATGGTTATCACTGTGAATTTGACATCATCATCAGTAGGAGTCACGGACAACAATATGTTGTGTCTCATCTTGCCACAAACATCCCTCAAAGAGAGAACCTGTGATATTGAATTAAAGAAAAAATAACAATACTAAATTTAAAACAATGTCATTACAAGTATCAAAAAAAATACGACGAAGTCGAGTTGTGTAAATTTCCTGTTACCAACACTAATCACAACTTTTTTGCGATAAATCAGCTCAAGGGCGATTTCAATACCTTATTGTATTCCCCCTACAAATAATGTTCAACTACGTCATTGTCATAATTTTACATTTCACATAATTCAATAAGTGTTAGGCGAGGGTAATATAATATAGTTTTTGTTTGTTTAAGAAGATGCGATTGCGTTTACCATGGATACATTCCCCAAGAGTACCAAACGTACCAATTAGAGGAGTGCGTATGGTAAGCACTTAATTCATATGATAGATGGTAAACGCCCCTCTCTTCATCATTGGTGTAAAACTGCATCTCCATCAAACCTTAGGCATCAATAGGATGATGTTCGTGTCGGATAACTTCATCAAACTTTAAAAAAAAAGTTTAAGTACCAGAAAATGATAGAGGTAAGAATGTCAGAGGTAAACATTTCCGTGGTAAGAATGCCAAAGGTAAAAATAGAGGGTAAAAGGAGAGACAGACCCCTTTTGTTTACCTCTGACATGTTTACCTCCAACATTTTTATCTCTGACATTTTTAATTAAACCTGGGTAAATTTTAAGAATAAAAAATAGCTTGATCATCAAATATAGCCTTTGCTATGAAAACACAAACGTTATATATTTGCTACAGATTATTATAGAAAACATTGACACGTCATAAACATTCTTTTGAGTTTTGATTACCTTGCTATCAACTTGGTCGCCCTCACGATGACACGTCACTGTAACGTCACCAGACTTAGACTCAACACTGAAGGGAATGGAGCGATGGCTCTTGTGGTACGACTGCTGCTGCTTCTCCTTTTGTATGTCCTATTTCATAGGTAAAGACTAGGTATCGTCAATACACATTAATGAGAAAACGGTGGAGAAAATGTTTTGAACCTCAACAGAAAACTATTAACTAGTTTATCACTTTTAGAATGAAGTGGTTCTAAATATGTATGGGCAGTGAGAAATCGCAGTTCTTTAACATCCATACTGACTCCTAGAAACATTTGAAGGTTTAATATTTTTTTATTTTTAACAATCCCAGCGTTCGGGGATTTTTTTTTTTAGATCTATGGACCATTTTCGTAATGTAATCAAATTTAATGCACACATCTTTGTGAAGTGTTTTGCTACAAAGTATTCTATTCACCAATTATGAATAATTGTATTTCAATAGTCATAACGCAAATTGCATACATTACGTGTTGTTAGGTAGGACAAGCCATGTGTTTATCCAACATAGTATAGTATTAATGACTGCTTTGAGAGAAATAGTTGTTTTATTACGCTCAAGGGAAGGTTAGAATTGTGCTATTCCCCGAGGCTTGCCGAGGGGAATAGCCCAATTGTAACCTTCCCGAGAGCGTATGAAAACAACTATTTCTCGAATATAAAAGCAGTCATTAATACTTTTATATGCCGAAAAAAAATAGACTAAAAAATGAAAAATTAAAAATATTTATCATTTTTGTCGAAGACGGGATTCGAACTCTTGCGTACAACAAGAGGTGTACCGAAAACCAACGCTTAGACCACTCGGCTATGGCCCGCCGTTGACATGCTTGGCAGTTTTCTCCAATATATACATTAAAATGGATTGAAACCGGCTTCGCGTGTGATGAATGCTTCGCAAAAGCTCCATATACGGACTCTTCTTTTACTTTTGCAATGCATATTGGCACGAACTTAGATCAAGATCTATCGGCAGATGTTGTTTTTTTGTTTTTGGAAGTTTATTTTCGTCTTCATGTCAACAATGCAAGATAAAATTGTCGGTAAGATCGATCGAGATTCAATTGTATTGAAATTACCGACCAATCCTTCGCACACATACGGCATCCTCCATCGCTCAAACCATTTTTTAACATGTAAACCTATGGGGTAACCATGGAGGCTGACCAACTTTTTTTAATAACCATGGTTATTAAAAATATTGAAATGTTTTATGCATGGTTACCGAGAATTTTACAGGAACAGTTGAAGTTTATGAATGCAATTCGACCAATCAGATGGCTGGATTTCTTAAGTGAGGTATATAACAACAATTAATGTATGCAATCCGCATTTTTACTAGTTCAATACAGTTATTCGTATAATAATTAGTAACAAGGCACTTGACAAAGATGTGTATCTAGCAATACTTAATCAAATCGATCTGCATTCTGACAATTGAAATACAGTTATTCGTAAAATGATTTGCAACGAGGCACTTAACAGATATTTGTGTTTTAAATTTGATTACACTACGGAAATGATCATTTGCGTGAACACAAAAGTGGTTGATATCACTTGTGGAAATAAATGCGGGCTGAATACGTCTGATAGCTTTGCAGTTTTTAATTATATCATTTAAAACGAGTAAACATTGCCTATAATTCCTTTACAGTTTCATGAAGACTTTGATTCAACGCGTAGGAATAAGAGGGGCTTCCCCTAAAACAGAAATCAGACTGCCTGAAGAAACCAGTAGGAACTGGTGAAACGTCGCGGAGTAGTTGTAAGTAAGAAATTGTAAGTAATAAATTGCTGCAATTGATGCCAATACCCAGGTGCTTTTTACTGACCGTTTCCATCCCAGGAAGATCCGCATGCATCTGCAGGTGAACTTCAAACTCTTGTCCTCGCTCTATGTTGTCTGGGATGTATGGAGTGCATATAAGTTGGTGTTGGATCACCTGTTGTTCGAGAGGAATAAGAACCCACCACTCAGCACATTTTCCAATGTACAGCTCAAGATGTCTCTTGTACACTTTGCAGTATGGTGGTTCGTGTGGTGAGCTGGATGATCTTTTTCTTGATGTTATTGTTACATCTGGTGTCAGTGAATAACAAAAAAAAATGCACTTTTTTTTGTTGAGAACGTCATGGGGCTGATTTGTCCTTTGAACAGTGAAATCTAAGATTTACATGTACTACTAGCGAAGAGGTAAAATAATACATTATAGTTTTTAAGATGATGATGGCTTATGCTATGGCGCCGGTTTCCGCCTCAGATGGGTGCTCATGGCGCTTGCTCAACAATGCTAAACATGGATCTCAGTGCATCAATTTGCATTTATCCCAGCAATAAATATAGGTAATTTTCTTAATCTAATTCTAATCTAATAGACTTACCCATGCCTGGATACAATACACGGGAAATGATGTTTGGTTTCACTTGATCAGGGTTCATGACCAAGGCATAGTGTGGTATCTTGATCTTAACAGGTTGATGGAAGATCATGTTTGGAGGATCACATCTGATCCCGTAGCAGGCCACTGATTCATCATCTTTGATGTCAACACTAGGAGTGTCTTGTAAGAGGGTTAAAGTGATCTTGCATGGGTCACTCTGATGAACAGCCCCAGGAGGAATAAACATTGATACGCCATGGTCTTCTAGTTCAATTTCCTGACTGGTATTCCTTACGACTTCAACGGAGACGATGGCAGGTGTCGATGGTTCAGCTGTCATTTATTTTAAACAAAGGAAAATGACACAATAATAAGAACAGATATAATCGACAAAGTAACTGTAAATTCAGATCGGGATAGTCATTGGAATGATATACCAATATATAAATATAGTTCTCATCTCATTTCTGTTCTCAAAAAGGATTCACTGTATTACAACTGACAAGTTGAGTTAATTACCCAAACACTGACGTTCCCTCCTGGTTTGTAATAGTTGAATTACGGTATATGGTAAATCTATAATTTATTATCGGTATTGCATCTTTATTATATCCATTTGTTTATTTATATATGCTTTTTTAAATTTGGGGCTCATCCAACGTTCATGGCTCGTATTTGGAATGCCGTTTTTTAGGGAGTACCCGAGTGAAATTTGTGTGTGCGATTAAGTAAATGGCCCAGACAATGAATTATCAAATTCTCTCTTCTTTGGAATGGAAAAAAAATGATCATCGCTAGACTTTAATATGTGACGTTCTGGATAAGAGAAAAGTTGTTTGTGTTTGAAGGACGTTCTTACCTCGGTAAGACTGGATCTCCTCCAAAGAAGGTAATCTGAAATTATTCAGTGCAAATGTAATAAAGTGGATATAAGTTATTTATATACAATTTGTGCTGTGAACAGATGTATTTGTTTCAACGTATGAAAAATTACTTAAATGGTATCGACATGAATCGAACAACTGTTTATTGTCAGACACTTATCGATAATCGAGGCCCATTATTTAAAGAAAGATACTCTTATCTTAGGATAATCTAGAAAAAGAAAAAAATACACATTTTTTTACCTGGCTATGCGTACAATTCTCACAAAATCAATACATTAAAAAGAAACGAATTCAGTTTGGTTTACAAAAAATATATTTAAAAGTATCACCTCGACAAAATCATCTGCTTGACCACTTCGTCCTTGGCATAGTGGATTGGTAAGTTGCCTTTCTTGTCCCTCACATCTAACTTGGCTCCATTCTCCAGGAGATAAAACACCAAGGCCTTCTCAGGAGATAGTTCGCCATTGTAATACTCATCAGAGATCTGGAACATTACACAAATATATACTTTTGTATTAGAACAGTATCGTCCATCAATTCGCAGTAGTGGAACTCCCTATTTACGTTGTAAACTTCCCCCACACGCACGAACACGCGCCCAGACACCAACACACATATTTTCTTGTGTCAATCACAGGTATCATATTTTAGGATTCCCTGATGACCTAGAGGAGCATTATATGTCAGTGACACCGCCGTAACGACTGCATGTTGACTCCAAAAACATACCAATATTTGGCCGTATCGTAATTTGTTGTTCAGACTCTCGTCGGTCTGGCATCAGTCTCGTTTGTGTTCCTGGTATACAACTCACCTCTTTTAGTGTATCCGTGTCATGCATAATTCTGCCGCTCTTGTAGCAGAGTTTAATGGCTATATGGAGACACGTCTGGCCGTCACTTGACTGGACATTGAGATCAGCTCCCTCAGAAACTAACTTCTCAATGATGGAGGTGCGGCCGTGCTGTATGGCAAGATGGATATCAGTTAAATCATTCTGTTCGAGCAGGATATAACAAAATACGCGGCAGGAAAACTTGAGAATTAATTTGGTCTAAATGCTAGTAAAGCCGAGTTTCTGGGAACAAAAGTACTGTCAGGTGATCAACTAATCCAATGATTCGAATTCGTTTTAAGCAACCATCGTAATTTGTCTATGAAGTCTAAGAAACAGCATTGAAGTCTAAGTGATGTTATAATTAGTAATGGTTATAGGTGTTACAAAATCAAACTGGTCAAGTCATACAATACCTCCACATTACCCTTCTTTTTCTGGTGATGCTAGAGCACATCTGACAAAACAACTCCTATGTTGATATTGTATGGTCTATTTTAAACATGTGGTCAGCTCTGGTGAAGTTACATGTCCATGTACATACCACTGTCCCTTGTTAGCTCACTTATAATTGACAGATAATGCACAAGATGAATGAGATCTAGAGCATTTTTTTAGGGTGGAGCTTAGCAGGTCTTAGAAAATGATATTAAAATAATATAAAAACCTATGGAATATACATGTATTTAGATGTTTGGATAACAAAATATGAGTTGTATGCAGCCCTGCAAATCAACAAGAATCAACTTATATTTAGATTTCACCCCACCTTTAATTAAATGTCAGTACTTCTTGTTTTATAAATACATCAAGGTAGATAAATTCAACATAAAGTGTGTTTTTAATATATTTACCTTGCAATTTGAATGATCCTTGAATAGATCCGCGATGCTTTGGTACCCAAGGAATAAAGACAAGTGTAGAGGTGTCCGCCCGTTAATGTATCCTGTGTCAGAACGTGCTCCTCCTGTCAGAAGGACTTTAACGACATCAAGGTTACCATTCAGAACAGCATGATGTAAAGGGGTCCCAACAGCGTTACTACCCTTATTCACATGAGCTCCTTGAGTTATCAGATACTCGGTGACATCAAGCTGGCCCTTGAATGCAGCACTGTGTAATGCGGTCAACCCCCTATTATTACCCTTATTTATCTTAGCTCCTTCACTGATTAAAAACTTGGTGACATCAAGATGACCATTCATGGCAGCAAGTGGTAATGCAGTCCAACCGTCGTTACTACCCTTATTCACCTGAGCTCCTTGAGTGATCAGATACCCGGTGACATCAAGCTGACCATAGAAAGCAGCATTGTGTAATGCATTCAAACCACTATTTTGTCCCTTATTTATCTCAGCTCCTTGGCTAATTAGATACTTGGTGACATCAAGATGACCATTCATGGCAGCACTGTGTAATGCAGTCAAACCCCTATTATTACCCCTATTCACCTCAGCTCCTCGACTGATGAGATAGTCGGTCACATCAAGATGACCATTCTGAGCAGCACTGTGTAATCCAGTCCAACCGTCGTTACTACCCTCATTCACATGAGCTCCCTGAGTGATCAGATACCCGGTGACATCAAGCTGACCCTCGAAAGCAGCACTGTGTAATGCAGTCATCCCTTCATAGTCACCTTTACTGACCTCAGCTCCTTGACTAATGAGATATTTGATGACATCAAGATGAGCCTCCTGAGCAGCAAGGTGTAATGCAGTCAAACCTCTTTTATCACCCTTATTCACCTCTGCTCCATGACTGATGAGATATTTGATGACATCAAGATAATCCTGCTGAGCAGCAAGTGGTAATGCAGTCCAACCGTCGTTACTACCCTTATTCACCTCTGCTCCATGACTGATTAGATATTTGGTCACATCAAGATGACCATTCTGAGCAGCAATGTGTAATGCAGTCCAACCGTCGTTACTACCCTTACTGACCTCAGCTCCTCGATTAATGAGATATTTGGTGACATCAAGCTGACCATTCAAAGCAGCAACGTGTAATGCATTGAAACCTTTTTTTTGTCCCTTATTTATCTCAGCTCCTTGGCTGATTAGATACTTGGTGACATCAAGATGACCATTATTGGCTGCACTGTGTAATGCAGTCCTGCCGTTATTATTTCCCTTATTCACCTCTACTCCCGGGTGACTGATGAGATATTTGATGACATCAAGATGAGCCTCCTGAGCAGCAAGATGTAATGCAGTCCAACCGTCGTTACTACCCCTTTTCACCTGAGCTCCTTGACTGACGAGATATTTGGTGACATCAATATGACCCCCCTGAACAGCACTGTGTAATGCAGTCCAGCCGTCGTTATTTCCCTTATTCACCTCTGCTCCATGACTAATGAGATATTTGGTGACATCAAGATGACCCCCCTGAGCAGCACTGTGTAATGCAGTCCTGCCGTTATTATTTCCCTTATTCACCTCTGCTCCATGACTGATGAGATATTTGATGACCTCAAGATGAGCCTCCTGAGCAGCAGGGTGTAATGCAGTCCAACCGTCGTTACTACCCTTATTCACATGAGCTCCTTGACTGACGAGATACTTGATGACATCAATATGACCGTTGAAAGCAGCAACGTGCAATGCAGTCAAATCGTCACTGTCTCTCATATTCACGTCAGTCCCATGACTGATGAGATATTGGGTGACATCAAGGTGACCCTCCTGAGCAGCACTGTGTAATGCAGTCCTGCCGTCATTACTTCCCTTATTCACCTCTGCTCCATGACTGATGAGATATTTGATGACATCAAGATGAGCCTTCTGAGCAGCAAGGTGTAATGCAGTCCAACCGTCGTTACAACCCTTATTCACATGAGCTCCTTGACTGATTAGATATTTGGTCACATCAAGATGACCATTCTGAGCAGCAATGTGTAATGCAGTCCAACCGTCGTTACTACCCTTACTGACCTCAGCTCCTTGACTGACGAGATATTTGGTGACATCAATATGACCGTTGAAAGCAGCACTGTGTAATGCAGTCAAACCCCTATTATTACCCCTATTCACCTCAGCTCCATGACTGATGAGATATTTGATGACCTCAAGATGAGCCTCCTGAGCAGCAGGGTGTAATGCAGTCCAACCGTCGTTACTACCCTTATTCACATGAGCTCCTTGACTGACGAGATACTTGATGACATCAATATGACCATTGAAAGCAGCACTGTGTAATGCAGTCCTATCGTCATTATCTCCGTTATTCACCTCAGATCCTTGACTGACGAGATAATTGGTGACATCAATATGACCGTTGAAAGCAGCACTGTGTAATGCAGTCAAACCCCTATCATTACCCTTATTCACCTCAGCTCCTTCACTGATTAGATATTTGATGACATCAAGATGACCATTAAAAGCAGCAAAGAATAATGCAGTTGAACCCCTATTACCACCCTTATTTACCTCAGCTCCTTGAGTGATTAGATACTCGGTGAGATCAAAATGACCATTCTGAGCAGCAAGGTGTAATGCAGTCCGACCGTCATTATCTCCCTTATTCACATCAGCTCCTTGAGTGATTAGATACTCGGTGACATCAAGATGACCATTCTGAGCAGCACTGTGTAATGCAGAGCAGCCGTCCTTGTCTTCCTTGTCCACGTTAGCTCCATGGTTGAGTACATCTTGTGTTGCTTCAAGACGTCCGAGTGATGCAGCAAGATGTAAGGGTGTTTGTCCATCCGAAGTCGCCTTCTCCAAATCAGCTACAGGATTTGTCTGGCCATACAGGACCCCCAAATCATCTTGGTCTGCATGGTTTATTTTAGCTTCCTCAAAAAGTTGTATTATGCCCAAGGCCTCCATATTGCATGACAAATTGCATAATTGAACCCCCGGAGACATCCTAATCTAGCACAGAATTGTAATCGTCTACTACTCTCATTACGCTCGACTTCTAAATGTTACGATTAAGATTCGAAATCTAGTTGTGAAGCAGATAGACCAGTTGCAGTATGCATGTTAAAGGCATAAGCATACAACACACTGATTTTTTTCCCGCAATGTGCAGTTGTTAGTTTTGTCGTTTTCAATAAGTTCCAAAGTCCTATAAATGCAGTGAACTAAATCGTAGTTTAAATATTTGTCATTCATATTTCACCGTTAAACTTCTCTGTTGTCTCCTCTTTTCTTTTTGAAATTGTTGACATTCATCAACATTTCAATCAATATAAAGCGAGTGCATTTTTGACCCCCCCCCCCCTTCCCTTTCACTCTAAAATATAAGTTGGGAACGTTTGTTCAGTTCGTCTTTTAACCCGTTGACAACTGAATTGTCTAAGTCCCATAGACTTAACACAGGGACCAACAGGTTCCTGTAAGCAAGGGGTTAAAATAGACATATATTCACATAAAAATACATAGAAAATGTTCAAGGAGGGAAATCGTCTTGCCCAAAGAAGGACAAACAGTCCATTTTGTACATATCTTAAGATACAATTCGTACTAAAGAACCATAAATTTGCCCCCTAATGTTGTATCTCACTACAATTAAATGAAATATTAACTATTCGCAGATGCCACTGATTTCTACCCTTTGATAATTAATTACTCATGAACAAAGCAAATATTAACGCTGACTATGGCACTAGGTGTGGTAATTATAATGCGGTAAAAGTTGGGGCAAAAATCCGACTGAAGAAAACCGTAATTGTGATATCAACGACGACGAGGCCGACGACGCCGACGATGACGTTTCCAGTACTGTAATGAAAATATGGCGATTACGGTAATATAGGCGAAGATGACGAATTTACAATCAACAGTATTTATCCAGTTCATTGCAGTCCACGGAAGTTACATATCTTAGCAAAATACAATAGGTCAACGTGGTGTAGTGCACTTGCAAAGGCGGCGCTCCCGGGCGCACGGGGGCACAGTGCCTCCACTTTTTCAAGTACCCCAAAAGTGTCCCTTTTTACATAGGAAAAGTGCCCCTTTTACTTTGTAAGAAGTGTCCCTTTGTACATAGGAAAAGTGCCCCTTTTACTTTGACAAGTGCTCCTATTAATTTGTTAAAGTGCCCCTTCCCCTTTCCACCTCTGATAAGTACCCCTTTTATTTTGACACGTACTCCTTTTCCTTAAACAAGTTCACATTTTCCTTTACAAGAAGTGTCCATTTTCCATTCTCATAAGTGCCCTTTTAATTATCTAGTAAGTTCCCTTTTCAAGTGCCCCTTCCTCTACTGATAAGTGCTCTTTTCATCTTATATAAATGCCCCTTTTATTTTGACACGTCCCCCTTGTCCTTCCTAATAAATGCTCTTTTTCCTTCTTATGAGTGCCCCTTCCCCTTCTCATAATTACTCGTTTCCATTAGTGCCCCGTTTATTTTAACAAGTGCCTCTTTTTCTTTTTAATAAGAGCCACTTCCCCCTTGCCATAAAAGCCCCCTTCTTCACCTCCGATAAATGCCCCTATTAAAATATGAACGATGCCCCTTTTCTTTCAACAAATGCCCATTTTCCTTTATCATTAGAGCCCTTTTTTCATTCTCTTAAGTGACCCTTTTCATCTCTGAAAATTACCCTATTAAACGTGATATGTGCCCCTTTTCCCTTTCTAATAAGGAACCTATCCCTTTTTCATAAATGCCCCTTTTCACTTCTTATAAATGCCCCTGTCAAAATCTGATGGGTGCCTTTTTTCCGTCGACAAAAGCCCATGTCCCCTTCTTATAAAACCCCTTTTCATCCCTGGTGCGTGCCTCTTTTTTTTAGGTGTAAGAAGTGCCCCATTTTCACCTCTGATAGTTAGCCTTTGTACTTCGACACGTGCTCCTTTTCTTTTCTAGTAAGTGTCTTAACCCTTTTGATAAGTGTCCCCTTTTCCTCTCATCATTAAACGTGCCCCTAATTTCAAGCGACTAAGACCGATTCCCCCCCAAAGCTCGTAGTTATAGCCTAGATGTTATAATTATGTAACGTATCAAAGTTCTTTTTAGTCTTCTGTTATGAGAATGTGCGTATAATCACATCAGGATTGGGATTGGGTTTTTCCTCTTTATAAGATTTAATTTTTTGCACTGCGACCTCACAAATCTTTAAAATTTGTATCGCTCGCAAATGATTTTTTCAGACTATCATACCCAACTGCAAAGTATGATGCTTAAGCAATATCTTATATGATGTAAGAAAAACAAATATTGAAATCATCACTGATAATGTAATCACAATATAGGGGTATATACCAATGTATACACAATTGTATATTTTCGCTTTGAGGATTTCCCTTTGAAGGTGCCCTTTTTTCCAGAAAGTGCCCTTTTTTGTTGGTGCCCCCCCCCCCACTTTGAAGTCGCTCCGCCGCCTTTGTGCATTTGGGTAGACAATCATTATAAGTCCCATCCACTTATACCGGGCAGGCTTAGGTCGCCTGGTGCTTAATTGGAATTAAGTACACAAGAGTTTTGTCAATATGTATTTTACCATGCATAGTTAAACGTCGAATCGAGAGAGCAAGAAAAGAGACAGAATTGCATCAATTTGAATTCCAAGAAGGGATCACCCACCCTCTCTCTCTCTCTCTCTTGTTGGGAAGGTTAAAACACAATGTTTGAAACTTTAGTGTTTAGTGCAAAGATTCCCAGCTACTCCAAAACTCATAAACGGATTGTTTGCTTACCCATGGGTCACGGAATACCCTGACCCGTAAAACACTTCAATTTTAGGTGCTGCCGATGTATATATGTATACGATGCTTGGGAGACACGATTAAGTAGGTTACTTTGAAAGCGAGATATTCCATTCCTACTTTTTTATAATTTGATATCTGTACCCAGGCTTCTTGCAGCCATGCAGCAGCATATTTAAATTCACCTACTTTCATTTCATATGAGATGGCATTTAGATTATCACAGCATTGTGTCGATTAAAAATGTGAATGCATACAATACATGAAATATAATAGACAAGGTCGTGAATTCATGGACAATTTGTTCCCAATATAAACTATAATTGCCTTAACTAGCTTTTTCTAGTTTAATTGTCAGATTGGTTAGATACGTTCATTTGGGAAAGACTTGTGCTCATTATGTAGTAAATAAGAACTTTACAAGTGATTTTGAATTTTGACCTATTGAGAACAACACACGTCTTTTCGCTGTGCCATATACCGATTATTCAGCTTCGGCCTTGCAGACTTGATTATTTCCCGCTTACATGATGTATGTTGCATCTCAGTAAAGGGTTACCGTACTTAATTATATATGATCCCATTATGAATAGAAAATATGTACATTGTTTGGAAAGACTGTAAAACACCTTATAAGTCTATTGTAGATCAATAATTGCGTTTTCTTACATGATTGGATGTGATTTCATGCACATTTTTATGATTAAACCTATACAGTGCAATTAAGCACTGTTACACAGACCCTGTACGTAAATCCCGTGCATTAGTATGCCTAGTATTCGTAGAGTTAATTTTCTTTGGGATTCCCATTTTGATAATCTAGCGCCCGTTGTTGGCATCGCTTCATATACTGAAGTGGGTACCATGCATGGTGCATGTGTATACTCCATAAATAATAACCTCTGAAACAATAAGGGCACCGTGCCAGATTGCCATTTGAAACAGGATAAACTTTATTGTGCCATCCGGGCGCGTACGCAGGGGGGGGGGGGGTGGTTTTGGGGTCGAACCCCCCCCCTCAAATTTTGTTTGTGCGTGTGTTTTGGAGGGGAAACCCTCTTTTTGTTTCTTTTTTTTTCTAATGAAAAAATAATGATGCTAATGGGTGACCTAACAAAAAAGTGACCTTACCCCTCATTTTTGTATTATTATTATTTGTGTTAATTTTTATTTCGTTTTATATTTATCTGTCTTTGAAGATAATATCGAAAAATAATATCGTAAGCAAAACATTCATGGGCTTTGTTAATAGTACCTACACGGGCCTCTACATTCAATAATCTATGCGTGAACTATCATGTGAGCTTGTCCAAAATAAAGGATTCTTTTAAAGAGTATTTTGTTAAAATACGTTATTCTGTTAAGTACAACTTCCGATGTTCACTTCTTTCTGAAACCTCTTTAAATTCTGAATATTCAAGTTGGGGTTGTTACATTACTCATTAATATATATGCGTTATGTCAAGTAGCGAAATATGGTATCTTTAAAACCAAACCTACTTCAAAATCTACGTTTTCTTCAAATTGACCTCCAACCAAAAAATTAAAATAAATCGAAATACAAATAAGGTTTGCTCAACAAACCAACCTCTCTGTTATTCGGTTTGTAAAATAAATAGAGTTCACTACACAGTAAAAACGCTGCTTAAAAAAGTGATGTTCACTTACAGTTGTACACTATCTTAAACAACAGTTGAACAAATTGTAAACAATGTTGCTCGAAACGAAAGTAATTTTGTTAAACATTCGCTGTTTAAAATTTAATGACTGCTTTATTTACTATACGAGAGCTTTTAGACAGTGTTGTTTACATATGACGTCATGTGTCACGTGCCAGTAAAGTGCGCGTTGGCTAAAAGATTTGTTTCAAATCATGGCCAACCAAGCTGTAGACGTGTCGTGGATGAGTGGAAACGTCGCCGGACTGTCGATCACAAGGTCCACGGTTCGAGTCCCGCCGCGGAACTAATGTCCTATGGCAGCCTAGCATAGCCGGGTAATGTTGGAGCGCCTTGAGGACCTTGCAAGGTCGATACGTGCGCTATATAAGAATCAAATATTATTATTATTATTTAACAACAGCTCCTTTTTAAACAACTTTCTTTAAACAACCCAGTTGGTGTAAACAACCCCCACTGAACAACAGCTCCTTTTTAAACAACTTTCTTTAAA